GGAGTGAGTATTAATTGTGACAAAGCATCGTGAGTGGAAAATTACTAAGATTAGGGCAAACTGTGAGTGAGGCTGTGAAGTTGAATGAAATCAGTGATTATTTACTGTGGATATCAGAGCCCAAACTGGAGGGGAATTCACAAGACTAAAGGAGCAAAGGTCCTGGTCTTCCCAGCTCAAGCCTAGAGGGTGAGTAATGGGCAATTCTTCCATCCCAGTAAAACATAATTGATTGCAGAAACCTCATGAGGAATGCTACATGTACACAGTGTCATTTTGTGGCATGAAGAAGAAAGCCAATGATGAAATGACAGTGAGTCCAACAAAATGTTTATCTGACATTTTTAGAAACCTCTTTAAAACCTCTAACTGCTTTACTGTGCACTATCCTGAGAAAATAGAGGAAGTACAGTTTAACCTAAAAAATAGCCAACTGGGAGTGGGTCATGTTTCCAGCTCCCAGTTGGCTNAAGAAACAGTTTTTACTTGTAGTGGTGGTGAAGACTGCATGTGTCACTGACTGTGAGAGCTTTGTTGGTTGGGGCCTCAGTCCCTGGGGGTCTGGCCTACAGGAGTTTGCCAGATTGACTAAGGGGTTTTGGCAACCGGGAGTGAGTATTAATCGTGACAAAGCAACGTGAGTGGAAAATTACTAAGATTAGGGCAAACTGTGAGTGAAGCTGTGAAGTTGAATGAAATCAGTGATTATTTACTATGGATATCAGAGCCCAAACTGCAGGGGAATTCACAAGGCTAAAGGGGCAAAGGTCCTGGTCTTCCCAGCTCAAGCCTGGAGGGTGAGTAATGGGCAATTCTTCCATCCCAGTAAAACATAATTGATTGCAGAAACCTCATGAGGACTGCTACATGTACACAGTGCCATTTTGTGGCATGAAGGAGAAAGCCAGTGATGAAATGACAGTCAGTCCAACAAAACGTTTATCTGACATTTTTTTAAAAACCTCTTTAAAACCTCTAACTGCTTTACTGTGCACTATCCTGAGAAAATAGAGAAGTACAGTTTAACCTGAAAAATAGCCAACTGGGAGTGGGTCATGTTTCCAGCTCCCAGTTGGCTAAATAAATGAGAGCTCAGTCAATTGGTAGAGCACTGCACCAGTATTGTAGTGGTCATGGGTTTGAATCCTGCTCAAGACTGTTTTTTTGTTTTTCAGGCTTTAATTTCACAACTGCTTAAGTTGTGTAT